ACTTCAGCCTGTATTTCCTAAAAACAAGGACATCCTATTACATAACCACTGCACAATCATCAAAATCAGGAAATTAACACTGATACAATGTTATTGTCTAATCCACAGACCTTTTTTTAAAATTCACCCACTGGGGCACCTGGGTGGCTCAGTCGTTAAGCGTCTGCCTTCGGCTCAGGTCAGGATCCCAGGGTCCTGGGATCAAGCCCCGCATCAGGCTCCCTGCTCGGTGGGAAGCCTGCTTCTCCCTTTCCCACTCCCCCTGCTTGTGTTCCCTCTCTTGCTGTCTCCCTCTCTGTCAAAAAATAAATAAAATCTTTAAAAAAAATTTTTTTTAATAAATAAATAAATAAATAAAATTCACCCACTGTCCCACAAATAAAAAGTTTTAAATGATTTTTCCTAATCCAAGATTCAATCTATAAATTGTGGATCATCAGGTTTTTCCTTTTTTTAAGCCCTGATCTGTTAGCGATACATACGTAAATATGAAATATGATGTTGGCATTTGCTTTAAAATACTTCAATAAAGGGGAAAAAGAGTTGAATGGGGCAAATACATGAAAAACACTGTAATGGTGATCATTGTTGAAGCAGGTGATGGGTCCTTTCTCCCTGCTTTTTCTGTTTTGAAATCTTCTATAGTAAAAGGAAAATTAACTAAGTATAAAAATACTTTTTTTTTTTTAAGATTTTATTTATTTATTTGAGACAGAATGAGAGAGAGAGAGCACATGAGAGGGGGGAGGGTCAGAGGGAGAAGCAGGCTCCCTGCCAAGCAGGGAGCCCGACGCGGGACTCGATCCCGGGACTCCAGGATCATGACCTGAGCCGAAGGCAGTCGCTTAACCAACTGAGCCACCCAGGTGCCCTAAGTATAAAAATACTTGATATAGAACTCTGTTAAAAAGAAAAATCACAGGCCCAAGATAGTCACTTGTGCTAAGGCCCCACTTCAGTAAACCAAGACTTAATACCTAACCTAACTGTAGTTTCCATGCCCCAAGGAATGTAAGGGGAATTTACTGGTCAACACTAGGAGGTAACCCCATAAACCTCAATCATTCCGCTTAGGAGGGAGACCTAGCCTAAAACAATGCATTCTTTGCTGATTCCTACCCCCAGCCCCACCCCCGGGAGGCCTTTCAAGGCTTTTTCTTTTTTTTTTTTTCTCGACAGAGAGAGACTCAGCGAGAGAGGGAACACAAGCGGGGGGAGTGGGAGAGGGAGAAGCAGGCTTCCCGCTGAGCAGGGAGCCCGATGCGGGACTGGATCCCAGGACCCTAGGATCCTGACCTGAGCCGAAGGCAGACGCTTAACTGCTGAGCCACCCAGGCGCCCCCCGAGAGGCTTTTCAAAACCTTTCCCTTTCTGTAGCTTCAGGTGCTCCCTAACATTCACTGGATGAAATGCTGCCCAATTCATGAATCATTTAATGAAATCTTTCAGATCTTCACATTTACTCAGTTAAATTTGTTTTTTAACAAGCCTACCGCTAGAAAGCAGTAAAAATAAGGGCTCTTGTTTCTGTGTAGTTGTTATTAGCTCAGTTATGCAGTAATTTTGCAAGTTATTACCATGATTGTAACTGTTAGCTCAGTTATGCTGTTCTATGAGCTCTTTAATGCTCTCAACACACCTCTGAAGAAGATCCTGACTTAGCCCCCACGTTACAGATACGGTAACTAAGGCTCGGAGGTGCAATCACCCCGTCTATGTAGATAGAACAGAAGTTGGAACCCGTTTATCTGCTCCCTCACTCGCTCTCCAATACGAACTCCGGTAAGGATAGATCTGAGAGACCCCGGGAGAGGAACTGCACTTGCCGCAGACGAGTATCTCCGCAGAAACAAACCAAAAAATGTATTCCCTGGGGCGCCTGGGTGGCTCAGTTGGTTAAGCGTCTGCCTTCAGCTCAGGTCATGATCCCAGGGTCCTGGGATCAAGCCCTGCATCAGGCTCCCTGCTCCGAGGGAAGCCTGCTTCTCCCTCTCCCACTCGCCCTGCTTGTGTTCCCTCTCCCGCTGTGTCCGTCAAATAAATAAATGAAATCTTAAAAAAAAAAAAAAAAGGCTATCAAGGGTATTAAGACCTACTGGTAAAATACAAATAAGATTTGTAGATATAGGTGGCGCCTGGGTGGCTCAGTCGTTAAGCGTCTGCCTTCGGCTCAGGTCATGATCCCAGGGTCCTGGGTTCGAGTCCCGCACCGGGCTCCCTGCTCTGCGGGGAGCCTGCTTCTCCCTCTCACACTCCCCCTGCTTGTGTTCCCTCTCTCGCTGTGTCTCTCTCTGTCAAATAAATAAATAAAATCTAAAAAAAAAAAAAAAATGTATTCCCTGGTTCCACTTACCTCTCTCCACTTGGACCAGCAGAAATTCCGAGTAACAGATGGATGCTTCGGACCTTTTGGCGCGGAGGGCGGGATTGGAGCGTCCCCTCGGCGCGCCTATTGCACGAATCCGAATCTGGCAGCCGGATTTGCCCCGCTTCCCCCACACCCCGCCCGCCACCACAGACCCCGGGACGGGGCTGTCACGCGGCGCGCCGAGGGCGTGGCCTGGGATTCCCGGGGAGGGGAGGGCGCTGTGTGTCCTTGGGCCGAGAGGGGAGGTGACTCCGGCCGAGGAGGACGCAGAATGAGGGCCCTGCGGGTGAGGGCCCCCAAGGGCCGGGCTGGGGAACCTAACCCGAAGCCCTCGCCCCAATACGAGACTCACTAAACATCCCGAGATCTGGGGCCTTGGAACGTGAGCCCCCCTCAGGGTTTGGGACTCCCTCCTAAACAGCCTGGGACCCTCAACCCCCGCCTCCTAACCCAAGGGCTTCTGAGACAGCTGGGGACCCCTAACATGGCCCAGCGCCCCAGTGTGAGCTTCTTCCCTTCATCCAGGGCCCCTTTAACATCTCGGGACGTAGGCCCTGGGAACTTAACACCGCTTCCCCTCCCCCGGACTTCTTAGGCAGTATGGAAACCCCACTAGGCACCCGGATCCAGGAGTGGATCATTCCCGGGACTTGGGCTCCTCCCGTTAATCTAGGAAACCCTCCCCATCAAAAAACAAAAAAACCCCACCGTCTCGGGACTTGGACCCGCAGAACAAGTGCCCCTTCTGGGTCTGCTCCTCTTCCAGGACCCTCTAGACAACCAGGAAACCTCTAAGCCAGACTCTCTAGGCGCGAGTCTCCTTTTTCTGGGCCTTTCTTGGCAGAAGCCCTTCTCGCCCTCGCACTGGCAGTTCGGATCTTGCCTTTGAGACATACGCAAGGAATAGGGCAGTCCCGGTGTCCGGGCGTCAGAGAGCCCGTACCCTCTTCCCACCCCCCACAGCCAGGCCCTTTGGGGACACCCTTTCAGGTGTCTCCGATACCCATCCACTCCCTCCCCGCCAGGTCTCCCAGGCGCTGGTTCGCTCTTTCAGCTCAACTGCCCGGAACCGCTTCCAGAACCGAGTGGCTGAGAAACAGAAACTCTTCCAGGTAGGCGGAGCAGGGGTGGGGCGAGGGGGAAGAACCCAGACCCCAGGCTCGGTCCTGGAGCAGAGTAGGGGGAGACGGGATATAGGGATATAGTCCACAGAGCAACCTGTACCCGTTTCTCATCGGATGCCTCCACCACCCAGGCGGACAATGACCTTCCAGTGCACTTGAAGGGCGGGGGAATCGACAACATCCTGTACCGAGTGACCATGGGGCTCTGTCTCGGGGGTGAGTACCGGACAGCCACCGCCTGAGCTGTTGGGGGAGGTGGCAAGGCTCGAGCTGGAGTGAGGAAGGGGCTGGTTCTCAGGCTGAGGTTTGGGGAGAGGGCTAGGGGCTGGGCAGGGGGCTTAGGGGACTGAATTCTGAGCTGGCCAGGTTTGGGGATGGTCCAGGAGTCCGGGCTAGCAGATAGGGAGGGAGCACCTAGGGCTTGGGCTTCTGTCTCAGGAGGGGGTGTGGGGCCCAGGCAGGAATTGTGGAGAAAGCTGGCAGCCTGGTTTGGATCAAGGCTAGGGGATTCTCCACCTGAAGTGCAGTTTGGGACGGGAGCTGGAGCCTGAACTGGAGCTGGGATCCAGACTGATGATTGAGGAGCCTGCAGAGGGGCTTAAAAGCTGAGATGGGGTCCAGGGAGGCGATTAGGATCTCACGCTGTCACCTTCCTCCCTCCCTAGGTACCGCCTACAGCCTGTACTGCCTTGCTTGGGCCTCCTTCCCTCACAAGAAGTGAGACCAGGAAGCTTGCAGAACCTGAACAAGCATCAATAAATGTGCTGGCTTCTTGGGGAACCCAGTCCAGCTGTGGCCTCCATTTGTTTGTACCCCCGCCCATCCTCCCACCACCAAGGAATTGCCACACTAGGACAGCCCATTGCCCTAGCCCTGAGTCCCTCATGCTGGAGGATTACTGATACTACAAGGCTACTCATGGGATATTGCTGCCTCTCAGCCCTCCTGAGGGGCTGGGGAGCCCAAACAGTACCCCTGGGCTGCCTCGCAGGGCCTGGGGATCTGGGATCATGTCCTGGAATTCGAGAGGGGCTCTATTCTGGGATCAGGCAGCCCCTCTCCCTGCGGAGGCTCGAGGGCGGGAAGGAAGATACTGAGCATGGTCCATGACACAACAGAGGCAGAGGTAAGTGAGGACAGACTCACTCAGGACAGAGCCAAGAGGAAGCAAGCATGGCCTTGGGGAACAGAGCGGGAAGAGGGGGTGCAGTACTGAGACCTCCCAAGGGCCTGGCTCTTGCAGCAGAAGCAGAGATTGCCCAGGCTTCTGGGTCCCAGTTTCAGCCTCCACAGGATCTGTAAGGGATCTCAGCAAGAATGTGCAGCTCAACTGGAATCCAGTAGGAGAAAAAGGACAAAGACAAGAAGAGGACTAGGGAACACGCAGATCCAGGCCTGGGGATAGACATGAGACAGACCAAACCACCCCCATCCTCTAGGACCTAGACTTCCCTCTGCCCCTGACAGAGACAGAGCCACCCCTCAACGCTCAGAACAGGAAGCAGATCTCAGAGCAGCAACTGGGGTGCTTTTATTTCCTCCTGGGCCTGGCAGGCTGAGAGCCGAGTACAGACAAAGGCACAGGGGCGCCTGGGCCTGTTAGGGCCTAGAGTTTGGCTGCCAGGGTGGTAAGTGTGAACAGGTGTGCCAGAGTGTGGAGGGACTGGAGTGACCCTCCTGGAACTGAGAGAAGGGCCCTTGGGGTGCGGAAACAACGTAACTGTTGGGTTTGGCACAGGTGCATGAGGCGGGTTGTGGAGAGAGTGTGGGATGGGTGTGCCGGGGGTGGGGTGACCCTCGGGACAGGGTGTGTTGGAGTGTCTCAGAGCCACGGGTAACTCGGGGCATGGCATGTCAGGCATGTTGGGCCCTGGCTGTTGACTGAGAAGCTGAGTGCCAAGGGCTGGGGGAACCAAAAGACCTGTGGGTCAGTAGGGCCCATGAAGACGAGACTGCAGCCTGGCTCAGCCCTGGGAGAGATGGAAGAATCCAAGGTGACTCCTACAGTGAGGTGATGAGGGGGCAGGTCTGGGGTTCCCATTCAGGAATACATCGTCAGCTGCAGCCACTGGGGAGAGGAAGGGCACAGGGTGAGGAGCAGGGAACCAAATAGCAGACACCTTTCTCTGCTCTCCCCCAGGGGTTGTTAGTATATATGGGAAAATAGGAGGGAGGGAGCCCAAGCTCTGAGTTGGTACAAGGAGCTGAGGGGAGGGGCTCCCCTGCTGGGCACCCACATCCCAGAACGGGAGTTCTTACCTCCTGGATGTTCACCTGAATTTGTCCAGTGCCATCCTTGTCAAGAGATTTGAAGGCACCTAGAGAGGGAAAGGGTTGGGGGGATTTGGCTTTTAGGATAAAAATATACAGGGGCACCTGGCTGGCGCAGTCCGTAGAGCATGCGACTCCTGATCGCAGGGTTGTTTGAGCCCCATGTCAGGTGTGGAGATAACTTAAAAACAAAATCTTAAAAAGAAAAAGAAAGATAAAAATATACTAACATATGGGATGATGGTAAATAGTGGCTAGTAGCACGTGGGGCACCTGTCTCGTTCAGTTGGTGGAGCACGCAACTCTTGATCTCCGGGTCATGAGTTAAAGCCCCACATTGCATGTAGAGTTCACTTAATTAAAAACAAAATCTATCTATCTATGTATCTATATGAAAAAAAAAAATAAGGGCACCCACTTCCTGCTCCTACTGTAGTCCCCACTCATGTCCTGAAACCCGACTCCATGTTCCCCACCCAAAGCCAAACCTAGGCAAACCAGGGTCTACACTGTCTTTGCTCCCTCTCTAACAACTCGGTTACCGCCCTCAAGTATCCACACACGTGGTGTCCCGGACGCTGCACTCACTGCAGTTCCTCCTGGCCCTCTTGCTGGTAAATCTAATGGCCATTTCTTGGGCCTTCTCATAAGTGACTTTTGGAATCATCTGCCCTTATTGTCCATTCCCCCTTCCCTTCATGTCCCTGACATACCTGCCCCTTTTTCTTTACCCATGGTTTAAATGCTTTGCCCTCCCTGGGCTCTTCCGGAGGCTAAGATCTTCCTAAAGCCAAACCTGACCCCATCCCTCCTCTGCCTAGAACCTGCTATGGCTCTCCATTGCCCCCAATAATGTCAGAGCACCCCTGAACATGGCACTCACAGCCCTGCATGGCCTGACTGTGCCCATTGCTCCTGCTTCCTTTTACTCAGTTCTCTCAGATCCAAGTTCAAAATCTGGCTTTGCAACTTCCTAGCTGAGTGGCTGGGGGCAAGCAGTTTTGCCTCCTTGAACCCTAAGTTCCTCCTCCAGAAAATGGGGACAATAATTCCCACTTGACAGTGGTCTTAAAGATTCAGTGCATTCATGTTCATAAGAGCCCTCACAATCCAGCCCCTACTAACCCCTTCCAGCCTTATGTCTCTGCATCCCAACCCCTCTCCAGCATTCAGAATTGAGTTCAACAAAAAACACCAAAAGCACCGCCTTCTCTTTCCCTTCGCTCAGGCTGTTCCCACAGCAACAGTTGTCTCCACTCTCTCCCTGGGGTCACTCCTCTTCATCCCTCAATTCACATCTGTCCTCCTCCAGGAAGCCCTTCTTGATCTCGGAGTCTGCATCGAGTGCCTCCTAGGTTGAGATAGCTCACTGGGCTTTCCCATTCACAAATCTAAACCCACTCGGCCCTGAGCTTCTCCTCCCAGGCCTGATCACTGCCCTGAGCTTCCCGTAGCCCAACTGTAACCATTCTGAGCAGTCACTGTCTGGTGATGTGCATCTCCTCCAGTGGACTGTGAGTGACATGAGGGCAGGAACTGGGCTGTTGCTGTCCCTGGAATTGCTCGCCTCGGGGTCAGGCTCAGAGGAGACCCTGGCCAAAGGAGGTGGGACAAATTCCCACCCAGGAAGAGAGCTAGGGTGTCACTCACGGAACATGGCATCCAGCCTGACCAGGCAGCTGATGAAGTTGTCAAAATCCATGTTCCCTCCTTCATCCGCGTAGCGTCGGATGATCATGTTGTAGAGATGTTCATTCAGGTGGAACCCTGAGAATGGTTTCCTTTCTCAGGTGTGGGGGCCACAAGGCCCAACCCACTCCCACCCCTAGGATTCAGGCTCACGGGGGGCTGCCTTACCAATGCCACCCCCAGTCAAACCATATCCCTGCCAGCCATACCTGCTGCCTCAAAGGCCCCTGGGAGTTCACTGCTGCAGATGGTACCTGAACGGTCAACATCAAACTGTTTGTATATGGCCTGTGGGGACAGGGAGGTAAGGATTCAGTTGAACATCGTGGGGCGTGGCATCTTCATGGCTTGAGGTCTTTTGAGTTTGAGGTCACCACGCACCTGCCACTTTTTGATGTTGTTCCACAAGTACTTGAATTCTTGGAAGCCCAGCTTGCCAGTGGTGTCACTCTGGTGGAAGGGTGTTAAGAATAGTGTAATGACCGTACCGAGATGCATGTGCTGTATGCACTGTGATCATGACCAAGCAGGGGAATCTAGGCTAAAACCTTGGATATGGTTTGACTTTTCTTTTTATCCATACATAATTTAGTTCATGTTTCTTTTTTTTTAAGATTTGGGGGGCTCCTGGCTGGCTCAGTTGGAAGAGCATGCAACTCTTGATCTCAGGGTCGTGAGTTCGAGACCCACATTTGGTGTAGAGACTACTAAATAAATATATATTTTATTTTTAAGTAAAATAAATTAAAAATAAATAAGCATAACTATAACTTCTCTAAACTATAAATTCCTCACCTGAAAATAGTAACTAACTCCTCATTTATAAAAAATTTTTTTAAGTTCCAGCATTTTTTTAAATTTTTTTAAAAGATTTTATTTATCTGAGCGAGAGAGAGAGAGAGAAGGATAGAGAGAGAGAGAAGGAGCAGGGGGAGGGGCAGAGGAAGAGGGAGAAGCAGACTGCCCACTGAGCAGGGAGCCCGCCGTGGGGCTTGATTCCGGGACTCCAGGATCATGACCTGAGTGAAAAGCAGACGCTTAACTGACTGAGCCACCTGGTGCCCTCATTTATAAAATTCCTTTTTTTTAAAAAAGATTTTATTTATTTGACAGAGAGAGACACAGCGAGAGAGGGAACACAAGCAGGGGGAGTGGGAGAGGGACAAGCAGGCCTCCTGCAGAGCAGGGAGCCCGATGCGGGGCTCGATCCCAGGACCTGAGCCCGAGGCAGACGCTTAACAACTGAGCCACCCAGGTGCTCCGCCCTTAAAATTCTTAATAGCAATTCAGTTTCATGAATGTCAGGACACATGAAAAACAAGGGTATCTTAAAACTCTAAGGAAATCAGGTGATGATAGTACACACCTGCTGGGTTTGTGATATAAGCAGAATGAGATAAAGCCCTTAGCTCAGGGGCTAATGTTTGATAAACTCTCAGTAATAATGATGGCCAAGATTTACCAAGTTACCTAGTACATGCCAGGCAGTGCTAAGCTTCTCAGGAACATCACTTTTCTCACTAAATCCGTAAGACATCAGCCTCACCAGTATTATTCCCCAGTCACAGCAAAAGAGACCAATTCATAGATGAAAATCTACCTAAGATCATAGTAGCAGCTAATTCGTACAGACCTCTTACCATGTGCTACGCGCTGTGCTAAATAAACCTTTTGCATGTAGCTCCAATTCAGTTTCACCATTATCATTCACTTCATTTTATAGACAGGCAAAATGAGGCACAAAGAGGCTCAGTAACCTTGCTAAGCGGCACAGCCAAGCTTGTAGAACTCTGTGCAACGTATGTATGTGATCACATGACAACACACGTGTCTACATTTTCTCTATGTGCTGAGCATGCACGTATCCAAGGTCAGCTAATGACCGGCCCATGTGCAAACATGCACGTGTGTTCCTGTGAACATGCCTCACTTATCTTCACCTGTACGGTGTGCCCTCGTATATATGTGCATGTATTTGGTCACACCTACAGCAGTTATAAGCTTGGGTTCTTGGGGCACCTGGCTGGCTCAGTCAGTAGAGCATGCGACTCTTGATCTCCCTGTCATGAGTTCAAGCCCCACGTTGGGTGTAGTACTTACTTAAAAAAAAAAAAAGAAAGAAAGAAAGAAAGAAAACAAGCTTGGGCTCTCAAGCCTAAAAGACCTGAGTCCAAATTCCTGTCCTGGCACTTACTCTTTTCATATACCTTCAGACAAATGATTGCCTCTCTCTGAGTCTCAATTTCTTTGCCTACAAAATGGACTCTAACAATTCTGCCTTTTTGGGATGCCTGGGTGGCTCAGGAGGTTAAGTGTCTGTCTTCGGCTCAGGTCATGATCCCAGGGTCCTGGGATCGAGTCCCACATTGGGCTCCTTGCTTGGCAAGGAGCCTGCTTCTCCCTCTGCCTGGCTCTCCCCCTGCTTGTGCTCTCTCTCTGTCAAATAGATAAAATCTTAAAAAAAAAAAAAAATCTGCCTGTTTAACACCATGGCTGTGACGTGCCAGCTGATGTTACTATTTATTGCCACAAGTCTCTGGGTGTGTGGTAGTGGGTGTGTGTTCTGATATATGCCTGTCCACGTTTGTGGGTATGCAAGCTATACCCTGGCTGTCCCAACTGTGCTCTCACAAAACTCCTTCTTCACCCAGGGCTCCAGTCAGATTGCCCCCAAGGATACATCCATCACGGCCACCATGCTGCGACATGTGTCAATGCCAAAGCCATCAGTTTTCAGATCAGGGTCTGCGGGGGACAGGTTGAAAGTCAGAGGCCAGAGGTCACAGCTACCCCAGCGCCCATGGTTCTAAACCTGCCCTATATGTTGAGCCCAGTAACTCACGTCGGGTCACGACCTTGTTGAGAATGTTCATGAGTTCTGTGGCACTGACCTCCATGTCCTGTGGGGAAAAGTCAGGGATGGTTAAAAGGGAAGAGCGTCATGCGGGAGAATGGGGATTCTTTGGCGATTTCCATTGTTGAGTGTGTGTACAAGGGCAGCCCAAAGGAAGGAATGGAAAAATGAGGACAAGGATGGGGGCCCAGGGTTACTTACATCTCCAGCCAGCTGGGCAAACAGCCTCCGGAACTGCCGGACCTCCTCGCTCTCATTGGCCTCAATGTTGGAGTAATGGCTGCGTGGAGGCTGCAGAGGGAGAGGATCTCAGAGCAAGTGGGGGAGGGGTGCCCTGGCCAGGACAGCCCTAGGTGGGAAAGTCAGAGTGGGCTGGGTGGCTGGGTGATCAAAGGAATGAGAGATGGTCAGTGGACAGTGGCTATAGCTAAGATCCATGACTAAGGTTGGGGACATGGCAAGGGAGAGACTTAATGAGAGGAATTTCATAAGAGGGACAAAGGGACAATGATGGATGCTGAAAAAGGAGTGAGCAGCAGGGTCTCTGATTCTGGAGGGTGGCTTACCGGAGGCTCTGGGTTGTACTGTGCAGCTGCCTCACTGAGGGGAGACAAATACGGGAGTTAGCGCCAGTGGGCGGGGCCTCCAAAGACCGCGGCAGCCCCCGCGCCCCAACCCCCCAAACCCCAGCCCACCACCCTCCCTACCTCTCCCTCTGCTTGACTTATCTGTCCTCGTCCTCACCTGTTCCTATCTTTGCTGCTCTGGTTGCACCTGGCAGGGAACTCTGAGCCCCAACCCCACAGCAGGCGCCACTCCTGCCAGGGCACACCTGCCCAATGGCAGATTCCTCAACAGATCCAGCCCCTTCGACAGCTCAGCTTCATAGAAGCTCTGACCCAGCTTCCTGGGCTCCACCCTCCTCAGGTCCCTTCTGTCTAGGAACCTACTCCATCCCATGGCTTCCTAAACGCCTGTGTCTTCCCAACATTCCACCCCAGCTCCATGAGTTCCCACCCCTTCGAGGGGTGGCCATGGTTGATTAGGCCCCTAACGACAACCTGCTCCACCTCCACCAGGTCATATTTCTATTTTAATCCAGACGGTTCCCAGACAGACCCAGCCCCTTCAAGATCATTTCCCCTAGCGCATTAGGCCTAGGCCTCTTCTGGGTCCGCCCCCTCACCGACCCACTACGACGGCCGTGCGGGTGCCCATAAGACAAGTCTTGCCCGCATGAAGAGACCCGAAGCCTCATTGGCTCCGCCCCCTAACGTTCGTCGCCCGGGTAGCTGGAAGCAGGCCGCCCCAGCCCCATTAAGCCCCACCTCCCGAAACCCCAGCCGCGCCCCATCAGATCGTCCCCTCAACAGTCAGACTCCGCCCATGTCAAGCCCCGCCTCCTGAACTGCCATCAGCCTCCTCACGGTCCGCCCCCTCGAGCCGGGTCCCGCAGCCCACGCCCAGCCCAGCCTAATTAAGACTGCAGGTCAGCCTCCAGGTTACCTCAATCTATGCAGGCGGGACATCCTCCTCCGCCAGGCCCCTCCCCTATTCGGGCCCCGCCTTACCTGATGGCACTAATGACCCCGCCCAGGATGCGCATGGCAGTTCCGCCACCGCCGCCGCCGCCGCCTCCTCCGCCGCCGCCGCTGCCGCCGCCACCGCCTCCTCCTGCTCCGCTGATCAGGCCTCCGATCATATTCCCCAGGCCTCCGCCCAGGCCCCCGCCTCCCCCGCCGCCGCCGCCTCCCTTCAAGAACGAGTTAACCAGGAACATGGCTGCAAATTAAGATTCCTGAGGGGGAAAAAAGGGGTCAAAAGGCCGTATCGCCATTGAGCCCGCGCCCTCCACATAAAAATACGCATTTCTGGCAGCTGGACTTGGGGGGAATAATATGAGGCCTCCGCGCGGGGACTTATCCTCCGGCTGGGGCTTGAGGGTCCATTTGGGATGGGGTCGGGGCTTCTGGAGGAGGGTAGTTCTCGGATGGGTGGGATAGGGACGGAAGATCGGATTTGAAATCCCCTCTGGGTCCAAAGGATCCCCCAGAGGGACCCTGGACTCCGTCTATGCATAGGCATCATTAAAGGGTCCCGGTCTGGTGGGGTTCTCAAGATGGGGGACCCAAGTTGGTGTAAGGCATCTTTGACGTGTCTGGGCACACGAATCTGAGATCGAGCCCCAGAACTGGACCTTGGGATCTTGGGCGGGTCAGGGGCGCCGATAAGAGATTCTCCGCCTGGAGGCCTCTGGGGCAGGGTTTAGGAAATCCCAGAATGTGAGCCTGAGGGTTTCGAGTACTCCCAGCAGCGGGATTACTGTCACCGCTGGTTCTGTGGGCTCGGGTCTAAGATTGTTGTTATGAATTCCGGGGCCCGGGATAACGGGGTTCCCATTATAATTGAGAAAACGGATCTAAGGATCGTGGTTCTGGGGACCCCACCCTGGGCAGAAATTTGTGGGATCTCTCAAATCCATGGGCTCTTATTTTAGATCCTGAGGTAGAGGGTAGAGGAGTCCCCGGGGCGGGATAACGGGGTGCCGGCAGACTGGGGCTTCAAATCTGAGATCATGGGTCTGGGGGACCCCTGAGATCAGGACTTAAGGGTTTCGTGGGCTATGAGGGCCGCAAGGGCCGGGATTACGGAGTACGGGGTAATCCAGATCGGGCGCTCACCGCCTCGTTCACACGTCCTCTGGTCGGTTCGTCCGCGCCGCTCCCGGGCCTCTGGCCGCGTCCGGCTCCGTAGGGCGGGGCCCGTGACTCAGGCTGCCCGGACCGGGTCAGGCACAGCGGGGCGGCCCACCAAGCATCCGCGCGGTCCTAGAGCCGGCATTGAAGCTGCGCCTGCGTGCGCCGGGCCCGCCTCACGTAACGAGATGCGGCCGCCGCGGCTCCGCCCCGCTCGCCTCCTGAGCTGTGGGTTCCGACCCTGCCCTGACGCCGAGGTCTGAGTTCGTTCACTGTTCTCCGCTCAGGTGAATTAATCCACCGGGGAAGTTCAGTCGCCGCGCCCGAGGTCACCCCCTACTGCTGCAGTGTGGATTCGCTTCCATGCGGCCACGGGTGCGGTTTTCGGCCCGCTGGAAAAGGGACTCCTGGCACGCGGCCCCTGTCCTAGCCTTGTCGCGACAAAGCATCTGGACACCCCGAGTTTTGTTTGGCCCACGGCCCGGGGACAAGCGCCCGCATTTGGGGCAGGGGCTAAGGCTAGACTAGATTTCCCGGGACCCTGCAGCAACCCGCATGGCGGTCAAACTGCGGGAGGCACTTTGTCGCCTACAAAAGTTGCCTCTGCCTCCTCCACCCGCACCTTTTTACCCCGAGTCAGGGTCGCCAATGTCGCCTCCTTCCCATCTCTATAGAGGGGCCTGGGCACTAGAAGAGTCCCTCTGGCCACGGCCTGGTTTCTGAGGCTAGATGTTCCCGAGATCCGGTGGAGGAGTCGGGGGCGGGGAACGCAGAAGCGGGCAGGAAAAATGGCGACTGAAACCTCCTTTGGAGACCTTTCGCTCTCGGGCTCCAGCCTCCAGACTTCACGGCTCCGCAGAGGGAGTTAAATCTGGTTCCCAGGCATTCTGGATGTCTGGCCCTTAGAATCTCCCCTGGAGGCTGGCTTAGCTTGAGTCTGAATCCTGGCTCTGCCGTTTCATAAGTGGGATCCTTTGGGCTCTGAGCAAGGCTGTTTTTTGTTTTGTTTTGTTTAAGCAAGGACTTATTAATCTGTAAAATGAGAACAGGGGTTCCCATTCCCCTTCAGAATTAAGTGGTAAACGCTTAGTAAAGAAGAATCATTTTGGGCGCCTGGGTGGCTCAGTTGTTTGAGTGACTGCCTTCAGCTCGGGTCATGATCCTGGAGTCTCGGGATCGAGTCCCGCATCGGGCTCCCTGCTCATCGGGGAGTCTGCTTCTCCCTCTGACTCTACCCCCTCTCATGCTATCATTATCTCTCTCAATAAATAAATTAAAAAAAAGAAGAAGAATCATTTTGTGTGCCTGTACCCATGTTCCCTCCTGCAGCCCACCTGGATTCCTCAGGTGGTTGACTGACTCACCCTTAGGTACTACTAATAAAAATAACTGCTAAGCCCTCTCCTGAGCACTTTACATATAACCTCATATGCCCTTATAACAGTCCTATGGAATGGATGTATGCAGCATTTCCATTCTGCAAGTAAATAAACTGACTCTGAGGGTAAACTCCCTAGCCTGTAACCTTAACCACTACCCTAATGCACTGACTTTTCAATAATATAATTAGTATTGGGGCACCTGGCTAGCTGAGTGGGAAGAGCATGAAACTCTTGATCTCAGGATCATGAGTTCGAGCCCCACATTGGGTGTAGAGATTACTACAAACAATGAACTTAAAAAATAATATAATTAATATGATAATAGTTCATTTAACAAGATCACCACAGACAAAACTGCGTTAGCAGCCAGGCCAAGGAATTGCTACACAAGCCTTGCCTATGAGGCAGGAACTTACAGGAGAGAAAACTGGAGGCCGGGTCACTTGCCTGAGGTCACAGAGGATGGCAGAACCAGGTGTGAACCTGGGCATGGCTGATGCCAAAACTTTTGGTGATGACTCATCCAAATTCCCTTCTCACCACACCCTTCCCTGCCACACTGGAAAGCTTCCACTGTCTGCCCTCTCCAGGACTCACCTGCTGCCAGGCCTTTCATGGGCTGTGCCCTCAACCTAGAACACTCCTGACTTTTTTATCTGGTGATATAGGTACTCAGGCTTGGGTGTCAGCTCAGGAGTCACCTCTTCTAGGAAGCGCTCCCTGTCTCCACCCCAACCCGAGACTGGGTGAGGCTTGCAGTAGCTTGCTTGTAACTTACACTCTCTCATAACACACACTGCCATCTCATGCCACTTACAGTCACCTAGATCAGTCTCCCTGGCCAGTTCCAAGCCTCAGGTCTTGGTCCTCCTCTGTATCCCACTCATGCCATATCTCTCTGTGTGTCAAATAAATAAATAAAATCTTTAAAAAAAAAAAAAAGTCAAAGTCCTCACCATGGTCACCAAGCTAGGGATCTGTCCTGTCACCTCTTTGACCTCAGCTCCTCCCTCTTAAGAAAGTGAGAAGAAACCCTACTGGCAGCTTAACCTGGATGTTCCCAGCTGAACACTGACAAGGAGGCTCTGCAAGTGCAGCAATACCCAACCAGCCCATCTCCTGGTGCCTTGAGGGCTGCTACCCCATTACCAAGGCCCTCTCTAGCCACGCCTTAGTGCCTCCCCTCTTAGTGCCTCAAGTCTGCACATTAGTCGTCTCAGGAAGGTCCTTTCAGATCTTTGATTTAATGCCCACACTCCCCACCCCACCCCACCCTTACACTGCTTTATCATTTATCACCTATTTTTTTTTTTTTAAGATTTTATTTATTGGGCGCCTGGGTGGCTCAGTTGGTTAAGCGACTGCCTTCGGCTCAGGTCATGATCCTAGAGTCCCTGGATTGAGTCCCGCATCGGGCTCCCTGCTCGGCAGGGAGTCTGCTTCTCCCTCTGACCCCCCCCCCCTCATGTGTTCTCTCTCATTTTCTCTCAAATAAATAAATAAAATCTTTTAAAAAAAAAGATTTTATTTATTTATTTGACAGAGAGAGACACAGCAAGAGAGGGAACACAAGCAAGGGGGGTGGGAGAGGGAGAAGCAGGCTTCCCGCCGAGCAGGGAGCCTGATGCGGGGCTCGATCCCAGTAACCTGGGATCATGACCTGAGCCGAAGGCAGACAGACGCCTAACGACTGAGCCACCCAGGCGCCCCTATCATTTATCACCTATTAACATAATGTATAGTTTATCCAGTTCTTTGTTTTTCTCCCCCACTAGAATATGAGCTTCTCAAGGGACTGCTGTCTGTCTTGTTCACTGCTGTGTACCTACTTCCTGGAACAGTGCCTGGCACATCTTAGGTACTCAGTAAATATTTGTTGAATGAATAAAATGTTCTGTGTGAATTTTCTCATGTATTTCAGCACCATTGATGAGATAGTGCAGCAAGCCTTACTAAAGCCCTCCACCATCTTCCAGATTCCTTTGAACTCAGGCTTGGTTATGTGACTTGTTTTGGCCAATCAAATGTGAACAGAAATATTGGGAGTGTCACTTTTAATATTTTAAATTTTATTATTTATTTAGTTTTTTAAAGATTTTATTTTTAAGTAATCTCTACACTCAATGTGGGGCTCGAACTTACGACCTGAAGATCAAGAGTTACATGCTACACCAACTGAGCCAGGTAAGTGCCCCTTATATTATTTTATTTTTAAGTAATCTTTATGCCCAATGTGGAGCTTATACTCACAACCCAGAGATCAAGAGTTGTATGCTCTACAGACTAAGCCAGCCAGGTGCTGGTGGGAGTGTCACGTTTTTTAAAAAGATTTTATTTGTTTATTTAAGAGAGAGAAAGAACAAGTTGGAGGAGGGCAGAGGGAGAAGCAGACTCCCCACTGAGCAGGGAGCCCGATGCAGGGCTTGATCCCAGGACCCTGTGATCATGACCTGAGCTGAAGGCAGATACTTAACCGACTGAGCCACCCAGGCACTCCCAGAGCATCACTTTTAAATGTAGCATTCAAAAGCCAGTGCAGGATGCACTATGCTTTCATCCCCTGCCTAGGCAGCTTTGGGAGCCAGACAAACAAAAAAGGTGCCACATGAAGGAAGCTACCTGGAGCCATGGCATGGAGGACATCTGGTTGTTTCTATGAGCAAGAAATAAAATTTGAGGAATTAGTCTACTAAGGTCTAGGGCTCATTTGTTACTACAGCATAACCTAGCGTATTCTGACTGATGCAGGTAGAAGTTATTACTATCATGCCAATGAGAAGAGAGATGGGATTACTTGTCCAAGATCACACAGCTGGTAAGTACCAGAGTCAAGATTTAAACTCAGTGGGGGGCCTGGCTGGCTCACTTGGTAGAGAATGTGACTCTTGATCTCGGGGTTGTGAGTTCGAGCCCCACATGGGGCGTAAAACCTATTTAATTTAATTTTTTTAAAGATTTTATTTATTTGAGGGGCGCCTGGGTGGCTCAGTCGTTAAGCATCTGCCTTCGGCTCAGGTCATGATCCCAGGGTCCTGGGATCGAGCCCCACGTCGGGCTCCCTGCTCTGCGGGAGGCCTGCTTCTCCCTCTCCCACTCCCCCTGCTTCTGTTCCCTCTCTCACTGTGTCTCTCTCTGTCAAATAAATAAAATCTTTAAAAAAAAAAAGATTTTATTTATTTGAGAGAGCATGAGCAGGGGGGAGAGGGAAAAACAGGCTCCCTGCCGAGCAGGGAGCCCGATGCAGGGCTTGATCCCAGGACACCGGGATCATGACCTGCGCTGAAGGCAGATACTTAACCAACTTAGCCACCCGGGCATCCCAATCTTTGAGTATTCTTAACACTTCCTGAAATGTTGTTAAATTCTGCTTGGACATTTGGGCCTTCCTTTCTCAATCCCTCCTTCCCTCCCTCCCTCCCTCCCTCCTTTCCTTTTTTTTTTTTTTTAAGATTTTATTTATTTATTTGACAGAGAGAGATAGTGAGAGAGGGAACACAAGCAGGGGAAGTGGGAGAGGGAGAAGCAGGCTTCCCGCTGATCAGGGAGCCCAATGCAGGGCTCAATCCCAGGACCCTGGGATCATGACCTGAGCCGAAGGCAGACGCTTAACCGACTGAGCCACACAGGCGCCCTCCTTTTTTTTATAATAAAAAAAATGGTGTCATGAAAATCCTTTTAGTAAAATATTTACCCACTTCCCTGATTATTTCCAGGGGCTAAATTCCTAGCAATGTCAGTGATGGATCAATAGATGG